AAGAGATGCAGACATCTAGTCTCTACACAGAAGTTACAGCACTCAAAGTAAGCAGATTCTGCTTCATTATAGCTGTAAGATATATAAGCAAGGGAAACAAATGCATTAAAATAACCAAAGCTCAGTAGTTCTGGACAATCATCAATACGGCTGTAATATGCATAAACAAGTAAGATAAAGTATAAAAGGTAACTAAAAGGAACTAAAGTTATTAGAAGTAACTAAAGCTGATAAAGTAACTAGAGTTTATAAGACTCAAATCTTACACACAGCAGCAAGATAGTATTACAGTCATCAAAAATTGTCTTGATTAGTTTACAATCTGTTGGTCTTTGGTTCTTGTTACCATTGCTAACTCTGAGAGACGAGGCAGTCCACGTAACTTCAAAACAGTGCTGATTTATTCAAAGGATTACAGGTAAAATTAACATTACACGCTCAGGTATCTTGCACCTCCAAACTGCTCACAGGCAGATGTAAGATGAAAGACCCTGAACCCACCAGGCCTATACATTATATCCCCTCGGTTGGGCTAGCCCCATACTACACAGAAACGTCAACCGAGACATCTCTGTTGCCAGCTTTGCAGCTGGTCATAGCAGTAGTCAAAACATGAAGCAAATCAATGTGTGTGTGTCTGTTGATTAAGTGGTGTGTAGCTAAAAACATTCTCACACGACCTCTAGTAACATGTCGTGACATTAAACATAAGAACATATTATGGCTAAGGCTACAGTTATACACGTCATAATAATAATATTAAACACCCTGTCTGCTGACAGTCATCAACTTTTCTCTCTAGTTATCCTTGACCAGATGTACCCTGTAGAAACTCATGAGCATGACTAAGCATTTAACAGTCTAACTAGACATCCTATCTCCACTAAACATTTCTAATACATAAAGTATCTACCCAATATCTATCTGACTAAAAATACCTAACAACCTGTGTACGGAGATGCTTGCCCCTGATTCACATTTCACTTTCACTGGTTTAATCAGTGTTTTATCCATGGCAATCAATGTGATTATTTCTAAACTTGCTCAAGGTGAAAATATAAACATGCAATCTGTCTGGCATGGTTTGTTCAGATTTTTCACGGAGCACAATTACATCGGTCTGTAGCTGCATCTGTTGTCTCTTACCTTATTTGCGTGTTATGATATCACCAGGGCAAAAGGGCAGTTGCTTGAGCACTGCCTGGGATCTATCTGTGCAGATGCTTGAAGTGAACCTTTGGATTTAAAAGCTAGCTGAACCTCCTTTAACAGCGATAACCTCAAGATCTTGCAGGAGCTTTGCATCTAAGCTCTTTGAGATCACTCTGTAACTGGATTTATGCAAATGATGATTGATGATAGGTTTTGGGAGGGGCAGTGCAGGAAAACAGCCACACAGACAAGAAACACATATAATGTGTTAAAGCATTCAGATGAATTAAGATTCAAGATTTTTTTTCACCATTTATGCATAAACAGACAGTCTAGGCATATAGGAATTCTTGTGCAGCTTCCCTCTGGAGTCAAGTAAAGAGTTTAAAGCCAAAAGAACAAACACCTAGTCTAAATATAAAATCACCCAAGAATACAAAATGCAGAAAACAAGAATACCCAAGAATACAAAATAGTTGATAAAATTGTGAATACAGGAATAAGATAGCAGGTAAAATGGGGAGTTAGAGATATTGCACATGGTATTGCACATAGTAGAGTTCGATGTGATATTTCACTTAGTAGGGTAACGAGGGGTTATTGCACAGGTTTTTCACATCTTTGTATTTGCCATCAGTCTTGCTGCAGCAGGGATAAAGCTGTTGTAAAGTCTTGTTCTGTGTGTGATGATACTGTCCACCCTGCTGTGCCTGAGGCTGTAGGTGCAGTTT